TAGAACAGTCTTTCTTTCTTTTTTAAAAATATATCGTTATTGATTTCAGAGAGGAAGGGAAAGGGAAAGAGAGATGGAAACATCAATGATGAGAGAGAATCATTGATTGGCTGCCTCCTGCACATCCCCTACTGGGGATCAAGCCCGCAACCTAGGCATGTGCCCTTGACCAAAATCAAACCTGGGACCCTTCAGTCCGCAGGCTAATGCTCTATCCACTGAGCCAAAGCAGCTAGGGCTTAGAACAGTCTTTCAAATCAGTCCTATTTTTCCCACTCTCATTGTCACAGCCCAGAGCCTGGCATCCTACCTGTTGCCCCTGCTTCCCTTTCACATAAATACTACTCTCCCAGCCTCAGAGCCAACTATTCTTTTTCCCCTCTGCCCTTTTCCCCCTCATTTGACTCATTTTCACCTGTCTGTTAGTAATAATTTAGCTCTTCCTCCCAGAAGTCCTCCATGCTTTCCTTTCAAGTTAATGCTTACTTCTGGCCCCTGTAGATCCTTGGTGCCTCCTGGTTCAGAGGGCAGTCCCCTCTCTGTGTCTCTCCTTCTTTACCATGGGAGCTCAATGGCCAAGACTGCGCTGGTTCATCATTATGTCCTCAGCACTCATCCCCAGGCTGGTGTGGCACAGGTTCTCAGGAAACACTGAGCTGGGCTGGTCTCATCACTGCTGTGATGGGACTTTGGGGATTAGACAGGCCAGACCAGTGTCTTCCAGCCATATGACCCATGCAAGCCACTTCCTTGCTTTGAGCCTCATTTATCTCATCTGTAAAATGGGCATAATAATCCCAACTTCTCAGGGTTGAGAAGCTTCTCTCATGTATGTAAGGTTCTGGCATGTGGACAAGGTTGGGGAATGGTGGGTCCTTTCCCAGGAGTTGTCTTAGCAACTGCCTATGTGAGCAGCAAGCCCCCTCAAGCCCTCAGGGAAGGAAAATGTATGTCTTCTGGTGAGCCCCCGCTCTGGCCCTCTGCCCTCTGCCCTGACACACCCTCAGAGGGGAAGGAAGGAAGAGGGCAGACTGGATCAAGCCCTAAACTTGGAGCCACATAACCTGATTTGAGACACGTTCCTGTAATTCACTGGCTGCGTGACCCACGGCAAGTCCCACGTATCTGTGAGCCTCAGGTTTCTGATCTGGAATGGGAGCTAAAACACTTATAGCCTGAGAGTCAAATTACATGGACAAACAGCCAAGTCCTCCATGGGTGCCTGATTATTATGTCTCCAAGCAATGCCCTGCCCTTCTCCTGATTCTTCCGAGGGTGAGGGGGCGGCAGGGGGGGGGGTCCTCTAGTCTCATGACCATTCTGGGCAGCGAATAGGAGCTTCCCATGGTTACCCAGGGTCTGGCTTAGGTGCCTGCAGTGACTCTGGGAAGCTCTAGACCAGCGGTTCTCAACCTGTGGGTCGCGACCCCTTTGGGGGTCGAACTACCCTTTCACAGGGGTCGCCTAAGACCATTGGAAAACACATATATAATTACATATTGTTTTTGCGATTAATCACTATGCTTTAATTATGTTCAATTTGTTTTTGTTGTTGTTGTTTTTAAATATAGTTTATTGATTTTCTCACAGAGAGGAAGGGAGAGGGACAGAGAGTCAGAAACATCGATGAGAGAGAAACATCGATCAGCTGCCTCTTGAACACTCCCTACTGGGGATGTGCCCGCAACCAAGGCACATGCCCTCGACCGGAATTGAACCTGGGACCCTTGAGTCCGCAGGCTGACGCTCCATCCACTGAGCCAATCCGGCCAGGGCTATGTTCAATTTGTAACAATGAAAATACATCCTGCATATCAGATATTTACATTACGATTCATAACAGTAGCAAAATTACAGTTATGAAGTAGCAACGACAATAATTTTATGGTTGGGGGTCACCACAACATGAGGAACTGTATTAAAGGGTCGTGGCATTAGGAAGGTTGAGAACCACTGCTCTAGACACTCAGGAGGATCCAATGCTCGTGACCCCCGAGGTGTGAGTGTGTAAGTGACCGGTCAGCCTCCTAGGGGGTGTCTGTGGAGTCCTCCAAATGAGACCAGTGCAGCTGGGAGGATAGAGGCACACCCTCCCACTCCACTCAGATCCTCGTTCGTGCGTTTATTCATCCTTCCACTGCTATAGTCCCAGAAAAGGTGTTCAATACATGTGTGTTGGAAGAACAGAATTGTTCCATACATTCAACAAACATTAATGAGAACCTACTGCTCCTAGCTCTGTGCTAAGAGATATCCATCAAATAAATGGCCTTGACAACCCTCTCCCAAGATCCCCAGGCTGCCTCTACATCCTCCTGGCTCTTCTTACTCCCAACCCAGTTTCCAAGGGCTGCCACGCTCCAAGCATCAGGACTTTTCCCAGAATCGAGGTAATGCCCAAGCACCCCATGCATCATGGGCTCTGGGAAGGTTGCACCCCACATCCACAACTCTCCAAATCCTCCCCGTCTTTCCTGTCCCAACTCCAGCAACCCTTCCCCATCGCTCTCAAACTCTCAGACTCAGCCATCTCCCCCCTCCCAATGCCCTATATCTACCTGGGGTTATACCTGAATATACCAGCAGGTGGCGCCGAGGCCGCCTCTTCTTCAGCGCTGGACTGGACTTCAGACCCCACTAGGACCCTGTCGTCCCTCCTCCTTCTCTTCTCAGCAGGGACAGGAGTGGGCTCTGTGACCTCTAGATAACCCCTCTCCTTCCTGTTGGCTCCTGCGAGGAGACCTAAGGAGACTCCAGTTGCTCCTGCAGGCCCCGAGCTGTCTTTTCCTGCTTGGTGGGTGAGGGGGTCCCTAGGGGCCCAGCTGCAGCTGGTGGGGCGGGGCCGGGTGGGGCGGGGCAGAACGCAGCTGCCAGAGGGAGAAAGAAAAGAGAAAGGAGAAAAAGAGAGAAAGAAAAAAACGAAAAAGAGAGAGAAGAGATAAAGGACAGAGAGAGGTGCTCTGGTTCCCAGGTTCCTATCCCACCAAACTGACTGACCAGGGTCCCGCCCTCTGGACCAGGGTCCCAACTGAGACTTACCGGAGGACAAGGTATGTGGCTGAGGAAGCAGATGGGGCGGGGGAGGGTCAGCCGGCCAAGCAGAGCGGGCCTGGGGGGCTGAGGGGCTGGCCAGTTACATCCCGCTGCTCGCCAAGATCCCCTCAGCCCCTCCCAATTGGGAGGCCAGGTAGAAAGGAGGCCGCGCAAGGAGTCCTTCGGCTGAGATTGGACGAGGGCTCTGTGGCTGCTCCTGCCTCACTGTGTGGATTTGCACCAGGCTCTTTCCATCTCGGGACCCCAATTTCTCCATCTATAGGGGGGCGGGGGGAGGTCTTGAAGATGGTTCTGTGGGGTAACTTGGCAAGGTGTCCCCTTGCGAAGGCTTAGCCCTTCCAGGGGCCTCTGGGAGACCAGAAGGCCTTTCCTGTCGGACAGTGGGGAGAGATGGGTGGCCCCTCCGTGTCAGGGACCCTCGGGCCCTGGCCTATGCCTCTCTCCTCAGCCTGTTTCTTAGGGACTCCGGGTGCAGAGTGCCAGCGTGGGGGTGGGAGTTGCCCTGGCTGTCTGGGGTTCAGAGATCATTCGGGACAGGATGGTGGGTGCCGGGTGATCAGATGGTGGGTGCTTGGGTGCCTGGCTCTCCAAGATCAGAAAAGAAGTGCATTGGGTAGAATGGTGTGTGGGACTGAGGTAGGGACTGTAATGGGCATATAGGTGTCCCAAGGTAATGAGGGAGGGGCCATCCCAGTCCTTTTATTAACCATGGCTGCTTGACCTGGCTCCAGAGCACTTTAGAGTCATTAGCTCATTCACTGCTCACAGCATTCAGCCTGCCGGAATGGGGGGGGGGGGGGGGGGGGGGGGGATGGAGCCACTCCTCCCTCACCCTGCTCTTGGGAAGAGATTGTTCCAGATTGTTCTCTGGGTAGGAAGGAGTTGGCACGAGCAAATTCTAGGATCCCAGGGATCCCAAAGTGACTGAGTTCGCTTAGGTGGGGCGACAGTCGTGTCAAGCACAGGTTTGGGAATCAGATCAGCCTGTGTTCAAAGCCTGGCTCTGCCGTGGGTCCTCGGCAAGTCTGCCCCCCCGCCCCCGCACCCGCAAAAGTCACTCGAACAGCAGAGGCCTTACAGGTGAGAAGCAAGTGCCATATGCGAGCAAAGCCCTCGCACAGTGTCTGGCACCTGGGAAGCAGATGCTCCTGCTCACTCTTCTTACGGAGACGGAGAAGGGGGAGGACTGGCAGGGTCAGCGAGCTGGGCCCTCCAGTGCGTCAGAGCCCCTCTCCCTGGCCGCACGGGAAACACTGAGCACCTACTGTATGCACCCAGCACTCACCCCGCACTATAGTACCCCACCCCTGCTGCGATAACTCCCCTCGGCTCACTTCTGCCCCAGCCAGCAAGGCCTCGGGTCTGGGGCGAGGGTGGAGACCCCCACGGCCAAAGGGTGGGAGAGGCACAGAGGAGCATCTGCACAGCACTTGTCCTCCCTCGGGAAAGGGCAGCGATGGGGGCGGCCGGCTGTGT